ATTTCCTTTCTTGTTTACAGAGAACATGAATGAAATATTGATTTAAGTTTATAATAAAGCAATTAAAAGCAATAGTGTGAATGTAACAGAAAACCTTATACGAGAAAGAGATTGGATTCAAATGTACTTTCTACGGTTTACAGTGGTGTGTGTAGTGACCAGCCGGGTCGTTACACTTTAGGGTGTGCAGTGGTGTGTGTAATGACCAGCCGGGTCGTTACATTTTATGTTGATTTGGTTACATTTATCAATTGGTTTTGAAGGTTGGAGAATGATCGACTCAAATTTCAGATGACTGCATAATATTTATGTTGCCAAACATAACAGTCCTTTTTTGCAATGGAAAAGAAATGTGTAGAAGTGGTACAAACTACAAACATTCAATGTAGGAAACACAGAAAAGTTTGTTCAAGTCTTCAGAATTCTGACACAACTTGCAGCACATTTTTAGCCCAATTTCGAGAACTTCCTTATTTCTTTTGGTCAAAATTAAACTTCTGCCATTTTTTATGTATTTATTTTAATTTTTAATCTTTACAATTTTTAATTCACACTTTATATGAATTTCCTTTAAACTGTAAAATATACCTTGAAAAAAACAAATTCTTTTTTTTTTTCCCTCAAGTTTCCTTGTTAAGGTATTTATATTCTTAAAATGAAAACTATCGGAGTAAAAATAAAAAAGTCTAAATTAAATTAAATAAATAATAAAATTAAAATCGAAGTTGAACATTAAAGATAAGAATTTTAGCTAATTTGACCTGAATTAGATGAATATATAAATACCAATTGTTTTATAATTGTTATTGCGTGTTAAATCATATAAGAAGTTTAATAATAAATATGTATTTTTTTTAAAAGAACTTATATAATATTTAGCAAAAATCACTAATTATAATAAATTAAATTATCAAAAATAAAAATATTGATTGATTGTGAAAGATAAAGTGTTCAAACAAAGATAAAAGTTACTCTTTCTATTTTTTCATAGATGTTTTGGCACTATTTTCTTATTCAATTTTCATTGTCACTTTTCTAAAATCAAGGACTTATTATTATGAATTTTTTTTTAATATATTAATTTTTTTTTTCTGAATAATCTCACCTCATTTTATTTATCAAAATGACCCATTTACTATTTAAGGTGGTTGGGGGAACCGATTTCTTACCTTCAGTTTTTATAAAACATAAACAGGTGTAGTGAGAAATCGGTCGATACAAAACCGATTTCTCAATAGCGTTATTTTTTTTTTTGGTTTTTGGTTTTTGGTTTTTTTTTTTGGTTTTTTTTTTGTTTTTTTTTTTTTTTTTTTGGTAAGCATTAAAAGAAGAATCAAACACAAGTAATAGAATTGAATATCATATAGATCTAAGAAGAAATAGAGTTAGTAGTTATATTGAATCCAATCCAAGAGAAACTAGCCACTCATGGTGAGGGCCATAGCAAATAACAAGATGAGATTACACAATAGAAGAGAAGAAATGAAGATGGATCCTCGTTCCCAAGCAAGCCAATCTTCAAGTCTAATCTTCAAGCTCTCCTCTTCTCCTGGGTGATCTTTCTCTCTATTTTTCTTTT